TAGCTTGTAACATTTATTCTAATGGTGATACTAATTTTTAGGCAAGCCACATGATAGTCCTGAGCATGTGGACTATGTTCCATCCATCTTTCCTGCTGCATACAGACGTAGCAAGAGAAAAACAAGCAGAAGAGTTTTGAAAAGGTTAAAGGAGGAAAAGGAAGAAGGAGAAACACCAGAGCCAGAGGAAAGTTCAAGTTCTGAAACAGAGAATGAACAATTAAAGAAAATGGAAGAAGAAGTCATAAGAAATCAGGAGTATTTAATGAATGAGGATTATCAGTTGCGTGCTATGTATGAAGAGATAGAGCAACAAAAGAAGCATGAAGAGGAGAGAAAGAGGGAAGAAGAAGAAATTGAGGAAATTGAAAGATTGTGTTATTTGAGACTTGCAGAAGTAGAGGCTGTGGAGCATGAAGAGGATGGACAAATGGAAGATGAAAATGAGGAAGTGTCCCTATTGCAGGATATCAGTGCTGCTGAAGATGAAAGAATGGAGGCATTATTACCGCAGGACAAAGACATTTGTCCTACTGATGATTTGAGTAACAACAGTACTGCAGAAAGTGAAGAACATAAGGAGTTAGTTACATTGCGGTTGAAGGTGGCTAAGTTAGAATTGAGATTAAAGAAAGTGACATTCTCAGTGGAACTGTTAAAAGACAACGACAAGCTTGTTTTATTGTACACTGGATTACCATCATGGCCGGTTTTCATGCACACTTTTCAATTTGTATCAAAATTTGTTACTCCTTCTCTAGTACTGAGTCTTGAGGATGAAATGCTACTCACTCTTTCACGCCTTCGGCTAGACTTGACTCTGAATGATTTAGCAGTTAGATTTGCAGTTTCTGTAGCAACAGTGTCAAGAATTTTTGATAAATGGATCGATGCTTTGTATGCACGTCTTCAGTTCCTTATAAAATGGCCATCCAGAGAGATCTGCACTCAAAATATGCCACCATTCATAAAAGAGCTATATCCTGCCTGTAGATGCATTATAGACTGTACAGAAATTTTTATAGAAAAGCCATCAGGATACGTTGCACGAAGCAAGACCTTTTCAAATTATAAGAAACACAATACTGTGAAGCTATTAATTGCTATCACTCCTTCTGGATCAATTTCTTTTGTCTCAAAGTGTTGGGGTGGCAAAGTCTCTGATAAAGTTTTGACCCAGGAGAGTGGCTTTCTTTCACTATTAGAGCGTGGTGATGTTGTTCTTGCTGACAGAGGGTTTACAATTAGTGATGATGTTGGGTTGGTAGGTGCAAAATTAGAGATCCCGGCTTTTACAAGAGGAAAAGGTCAGTTGTCACGAGATGTTGAAATGACCAAGAATTTATCACATGTACGAGTACATGTTGAACGAGTAATTGGGCTTTTGAAAATGAAATATAAAATT